GGGGCGGCCGGGGCGCGGGCGGCGCTCGGGGGGCGCGCACCACCGTGGCGCCCGGCAGCGGGACGGCGCCCGCTCCCTCATCCCGGTGCTGCAGGCTGAGCTGGCATTGCCCCCCAGGCTGCTGGGAGTGGGTCCCCCCTGCACCTGTGGGGCCAGGCTGGCACAGCGATGGGGCTGGGCACAGCCACAGGGGGACACTCTGGGGCTGGGGTCTCCAAGGAGGGGGACGCCTCTCTGGGGACAGGTTTGCACCCCGGGTGCTGGGCTCAGCACSAGCCTCGAGGGCAGACGCCTGGCTGGGCTGCTGCCCTTGCTGGGGAGCTGGTGCCCGGGGGGCTGCTGCCCAGAACGGGGTCTGGGTGCCAGGAAGCGGCTGCTGCATTGGGGCTGCTGCTGGGGGGGGCTGCTGATCCCCCCAAAACCTGGGTGTCCCACCAAGCATTCCCAAGGCAGCTCCCCCCAGGGGAGGGCATTGCAGACCCCTGGCACCCCCAGGGAGGGCAATGGGGGCCTGTGCAGAGGGCCCTGGCTGGGCACCCAGCTCTGCCCAGCCCCACCAAGCAGGCGCCGCGGTGCCTGATGCGGCGAGGGCGATTCCTGCTGCCCCAATCCCAGGCACTTCCTCCTGGCCAAGGTACAAAAGGAGAAGCAGCCGGGTGCAGCGTGGGCGCAGGGACGAGCAGGGATCCAACTGGGACACAGCGAGTGGCTGGGAGCACCCCACGGCTCGCGGGACACAGGTAAGTGACATCTCTTTCTGTGGGAAAACCAGTGGGTGGAGGATCRGCTGGGCACATGGCAAGACTGGGCACCGAAGGTCACCCAAGGGTGCAAAGATYGGCACCAAGGTCACCTAAGGGTGCAGAAACCGGCACCAGCTGTGCAGAGGGGTCTGCAGGTCCTGGTCCTACTAGGTGCCCACGTCACGGTGAGGTCGGGTGGCAGGGTCCACCCCGGGCRCTGCTGCGGGCTGGCACTGGGGACAGTGCCGAGGGGAGTGGGGAGGCCGGGACATCCGCAGAGGCCCCGGGCTCGCTCGTGCACTCGTGCTCGCGTGGCTGCTGTGAGCATGCACTCACATGCAGGCACACACGTGTGCACGCGTGTTCCCCAYGCCAGGGCCACCCGCCGCCTCTGCCCGCTGCGCGGCTTGGGGACCCGCGTGCCGGGGGCTCCGTGCCGCCCGCCCCAGCCCCGCCGCCGCTTCCCGGGCTGCTCACGGCGCGAGCAGGGAAGCGAGAGCAGAAGCAAAGGCAGCACTTCCCCCACGCCAACCTCCCCCCGAAATGAAGGGACAGGGACGGGGATGCTGCAGGGGCTCAGCCTCGGTGCCGTGCCGTGCCGACCGTGCCGACAGGCAGGGCGAGCCGGGCATGGTACATGGGTGCAGGGAGAGCTGAGGGGGCAAGGGCTGTGCCCGTCGTGTCTCACGCCTGTGCAGGGGAGGACACGGGCAGAAGGATGCCCTCTATCCCACTATGTTTTATCCTAAGGAAGAGGAGCTCCATGGTAGGGCCTAGTGGGGAGGAAAGACCCTTTCCTTGGGGCAGAGGCCAAACCCGAGCTCTGGGGTGCCAGGGTCAGCGCCAGGTCGCTCTGATCAGGGCCTCTGTCTTGGCAGAGCCCTGGGGCAGGAGCCATGGCCGAGGATGGGGAGCTCGCCCGCGTCATCAAGGATCTGCAGAGTAAGTGAGCAGCCCGTCCGCGCCGCGGGTGCACGGGCAGCCTCCCCCGCATCCCGCCTCATCCCGCCTCATCCCGCCAGGCCGGACAGAGCCGCAGCCCCACGTTCCTCCCTGCGCCCAGYCCGTGGGCAGCAGGGAAGGGCTGTGACACCCGTGTCCCAGCGCTGCAACAGGGGAGGAGGCCCTGTCCCCACCTTGGAGGCCATCCCAGGACCCCCCACCTGCAGCAGCCCCATCTCCCCCTCMTCCCTGGGGACTGTCCTCGGCTGGGGAGCCATCCTGGCTCCCATCCTGGCTGCCCATCCCGCCACCAGCCCAGGCGCCTGGATGGAAGGGAGCAGGGAAGAAGCAAGGAGGAGCCCTGCATGTACCTGCTCCCACTCGCTCTCCCTCTTCCCCCTTTTCATCCCGCCGTGAGTTCCTCTTTCGCCCACAGCAGAAATCCCCGGGGCTGAGGGCCTGGACACRGCGGGGAGGGTGTGGGATGGGGCACAGGCCCGCTGCCCACCAGGGYCGGCCAGCTCATGCCCACCACCCCGCAGAGACCGTCGCCGAGCTGAACCGGAGCTACCRGGAGCAGAACCTGCCGGTGACGGACGGGAGCCGGGAGCTGCACAGCCTCTGCGCCCAGCTCGAGTTCCTCCTCCAGGTACCGCGCAGGCTGCCCCCACTCCCTCCCTGCCTCAGTTTCCCCCTGGGTGCAGCCCAGAGCTGAGGGTGCCTGTTCCAGCCACTCCAYGAGTGGGCACCCTTGGAGAACTAGTTGGCCCTTGGCACTGCCAGGCCCTCGCGCTGCCCGGCTTTGGAGGTGGGGAGGGAGTTTCTGAAGGGAGAGCTGAGCCTTGGCACGCTCACGTGCGGTTGGTGTTGTCTGGCTCCGGGCACCCCTGGCCATGCCAAGCTCTCCTGCAGCCTGCCCAGGGCTCATCCTCTTTCACACAGGGAGCTAGGGGTTATTCCCAAAGCCACAAAAGGGAAACTGAGGCACAGAGCCAGCCCAGGGCTGCTCTGCATCTCTGCTCCCCCTGCCCCAGTGCAGCAGACTATGCTTGGCCAGGAGACCGACTGTGCCAGGGTGCYTGCTGGGCACTCAGGGTGCCTGGCTGGCTCCCAGGCTGTGGGGCACGGACTGAGGGGACAGGGGACCTCCCCAAAGGGGACTGAGCCTGTGTCTCTGCCAGTTCGACCTCAAGGAGAAGAGGAACTTCTTTGGGCAGCGGAAAGACTATTGGGACTTCCTGTGCCAGGGCCTGGCGCGGCGCCGGCAGGAGCACGAGGGCGTTCGCTTCGTCGCCTCGCTGGACAAGGTGCCTGGGCTCRCGGGGCGCCCGCGCACCCTTGTGCATGGGCACGCACCGTTGCATGCACAGCTGTGCAAGTCAGCCTTGCACGGGCACGTTGGCACGCTAGCACCTGCACTTGCACGCAGGCACACGCGCTTGAGCGCGTTTTGCACCGTGCCCACACTTGTGGGTGCACGTGCAGGGTGGCGCGGGCGGAGGGCTGGGGCGGATAAACCCCTCTGCCCGCAGCTGAAGACGCCGCTGGGCCGGGCCCGGGCCTTCCTGCGCTACTGCCTGGTGCACCGGCAGCTGGCCGAGTCGCTGCAGCTCTGCCTGCTCGACCCGCAGAGCCTCAGGTGAGGGCAGGGGCCGGGAGGGCCGCGGCGGGCGCCCCGGGGCGCGGGGGCTGCAGAGGGGTGCGCGAGCGCGCCTTGTGCTTGCAGCGAGTGGTACTACGCGCGCAGCCCCTTCCTGAGCCCCCAGCGCCGCGCCGAGATCCTGGGCAGCCTCTACGAGCTGGACGGCGTCACCTTCCACCTGGCGCTGCGCCGCGCCGACCTGGACGCCGCCTGGCCCATGTTCTCGGAGTGAGCGCGGGCGGGAGCGGGGGGCGCCGGGGCTGGCAGCACCGGSTGGGCACAGCACAGGCACCCCCCCTCAGGGCGCGCGGCACCGCGTGGCYACGGGCATCCCCCCTCACACTGAGCCCCGCCGTCCCCTCCAGGACGCTGCCACGGGCCAGCCCAGCGCCCGCCGGCTGCCCAGAGAAGATGCTCAACGGCAGCGATGCAGCGGGCAGCCCCGTGGTGCCCGCTCCCCGCTGTGACCCCATCGCTGCCCGCTCCCCCTCGCCCAGGTGGGCGAGTGCCAGGACTGACACCGAGAAGCAGCCCCAGGCTGGCGGGGACGGGGAGCCCGCAAYGTGCCCGGGCCGGGCGCCGGGCTCCCCAACACAGGAGCAGTCCTTGGCCGAGCTGCGTGGGGCGCACGCGGCGCTGCAGGAGCTGGCCGAGCGCCTGCGTGCCGAGGCGGCGGCGCGGNCAGGCGCGCGAGGCCGAGGCGCTGCGGGACACCAACGCCTTCCTGGGCGCCACGCTGGCGCGCCTGGGCGCCGAGCTGGCGGAGCTGCGCCGGCACGCACCGCGGGACACCGAGGTGGCCCAGGAGCGGCTGCTGCTGGAGGCCAGGGCGGCCGCGGCGCCGGGCGATGCGGCCCTGCCGGAGACACCGCGGGCGCTGGCGGAGGAGGAGGAGGCACGGGGCTGGCGCGAGGCCGCGGAGGCGCCGGCCGCCCGGCTGGCCGCGGCGCTGGCAGAGCGCGACGCCCTGGCCTCGCGCCTCGCGGCCAGGGCGGCCGCGGCGCCGGGCGATGCGGCCCTGCCGGAGACACCGCGGGCGCTGGCGGAGGAGGAGGAGGCACGGGGCTGGCGCGAGGCCACGGAGGCGCCGGCCGCCCGGCTGGCCGCGGCGCTGGCAGAGCGCGACGCCCTGGCCTCGCGCCTCGCGGCCTCGGAGGCTGCGGCGCKGCAGCAGCAGGAGCAGCAGGAGCAGCTCCGGGCGGCGCTGCGGGAGCACCGGGCGCTGGAGCAGCGGGCGGCCGCGGATGCCCAGGACAGTGCCCGCCGGCTGGCAGCCGCCCAGGCGGAGCTGGCCGCCCTGGAGGAGGCGCTGAGGGAGGCGCTGGAGCGGGTGCGGGAGCCCCGCGCGGAGCAGCCGGCGGCGGCTGGCRCGGAGCCGGATCCCAGCACCGCGGCCAGCATGGTGACGGTACGGGCGACCTGGACCACATCCCTGGGCACGGGGGGATAAACCCCCTGGGGAGAGCCCCCCAAAACCACCGCCTCTCCCGCAGCTCCTGGCCTCCGTGGCCGCCGCGGCACGGGAGGAGGCTCAGCAGAGCCGGCAGCAGCTCCAGGCCCAGCGGCAGGAGGTGGAGCGGCTGCAGCAGCAGCTGGGCAGGTGCTGACAGGGAACCCTTTGGCGTCATCCCTTTTGGGGATTGAGGGATGRCTGGAAGGGTGGAGGTGTGAAGAGGGGTAGGGGTGGACGGATGGGTGGAGGGGTGGGTTTGGGGTGGGTAGATGGAGGGAGGGCAGATGGTTGGGTGGAGGGGCAGGGGAATGGATTGCAAGGAAGTGGATGGAAGGAGGGAGGGATGGACTGGCAAACAGATGGAGGGATGGGTGAGGGAAGGATGAATGAATGGCTGGAAAGCAGCTGGGTAGGTGAATGGATGGAGCAGTGGGTGGCAAGATGGTTGTGGGGATGCAGACATGGATGGATTGGAGGATGGATGGGTGGCTGTGGAATGGAGGGGATCCCCACCCCGTGCCCTGGCACCCCGGGGCTCAGCTCAGCGCTGTTGTGCCACCCTCTGCGCCAGAGCGCGGCAGGACGGAGAGCGCTGGGCATCGGCCCTGCAGCGGGCGCAGCGCGAGGCCATGGAGCGCGAGGCCACGCGCGGCGAGGAGCAGGCCCGGCAGCAGGAGCTCATCCGCGACATGAAGGGGCGGCTGCTGGAGCTGCTGCGGTGAGTCCTGCAGCCACCTTCCCGCGGCCGCGCGGCTGCCTGGCCTTGTGCCGTGTGCCGTGTGCCTTGTGCCATGTGCCGTGTGCCTTGTGCCGTGTGCCTTGTGCCATGTGCACTGTGCCTTGTGCCATGTGCAGTGTGCCTTGTGCCGTGTGCCTTGTGCCATGTGCAGTGTGCCTTGTGCCGTGTGCTGTGTGCCTTGTGCAGTGTGCCTTGTGCCATGTGCAGTGTGCCTTGTGCCGTGTGCCTTGTGCCATGTGCAGTGTGCCATGTGCTGTGTGCCTTGTGCCGTGTGCCCTGTGCCGTGTGCTGTGTGTCGTGTGCTGTGTGCCATGTGCCTTGTGCAAGCCAACGCTCTCACACCCCTCTGCCCAGAGGAGGGCACCAGAGCCCGGGAAAATCCCCCTCACTGTCTCAGAGACCCGGGTGAGGACTTGGATGCCGCCCTGGGGCTTGGGCGCCAGGCCTTGTGCCCAGACCTCTCWTTGCTGGCTGGCGGTGTGGGGACAGCGGCTCTATTGGGGATGTTACACAAAGGGCACATGGATTTTTGCCAGGTCTGGCACGTGTGTAAACCAGAGCGCACAGCGGCAAGCAGAAAGGGGCTGTCGCGTAGGAGCTTCTGAGTGCAGCCAACAGGACCTGCCCCAGGCACATTCCCCCGCCTGCCTGCGCGTGGCTGTCGGGGCCCTCAGGCTCCCGTGCACACTCACACCCGTACGTGAATGTCTACGTGTGTGGGTACTCACGTGTGAGGGGGTCTGCCCAGCCGCGTTCCAGCACATCCCCACCCGCTGCAGGAAGGGAGATGCCCAGGAGACAGCCAGCCCTTCCCTGTGCGCCCAGGGGGTGCAGCCTGGGGGCAACCCCCTTCCCGAGGGTGCGCTGTGTCTGGGCAAGCTGACCCGAGCCCTCTCTGCAGGGAGAAGGATGCGCTGTGGCAGAAGACGGAGGGCATAGACCCGCAGATGCCCAGCGTGGCGCCTCGCAACCTGGGGCTGTGCGCCCGCTGCCGCAAGGATTTCCGCCTCCTCTCGCGGCGATACAGCTGCAGGTGGGGCCTGGGGCCGAGCGGGAGGGCATGGGGCAGCGGGTGGCATTCCAGGGGCACCAGGGGCATCAGGATGTCACGGCCCTTGTGCGCACGAGGCCGTCGTCTCTCCGCAGGTTGTGCCAGGGCAAGGTGTGCCACGCGTGCTCGGTGGACGTGGGGAAGCAGGGGCGGTGCTGCCTGCTCTGCTACCAGCAAAGGCAACAGCAGCCCRCGTGAGGCGGCACTGGCTCTGTCATGCTGTGCTCGGACACGCGCTCCAGCCACCGTCTGCCTCCTTGGGGACTCACATGAGCCAAGGACCTGGGCGTCCAGGACCTGCTGTGCAGGCCCTTCCACTCAGGATTGGGGATTTTGGACACATCTTTCACGTGGCTGGTCCATGGAGAGGAAAACAACCCACTCCTGCTAACTCTCRTGGCTCTCTGTGGCTCTCGTGTCATCTGCTGGTCATCACCAGTTCAAAACCTTGGCCAGGACGCGGGAAGTGAGTGATACAAATGGGGACAGCCCTCCTTGGGGGAGAACGGTCTCAGGAAAAGGTGCCTCATCTGAGCCCCTGCGTCAGCACGAGCTCCTGCCAGGAAGGCAGCAACGGGCAGGAGAGGCAGCGATTAGCCAACAGCCCCCGCTTCCTGACCACTTGCGAGGAACTGCTTGGGCAAGAGGCTTCCCAGACGCAAAGGTGATGGGCTGCCCCTGCCCGGCTGCCCGGCTGCCCCTGCCCAGCCGGGACCCCAGCATGGGGGTCTCCAGTCTGGGCCTTGCTGAGGGGCCCCCGGGCCTCTGTCCCCAGCCCCTCACCGCCCACCACACAGGGCACAGCAGCACCCACGGGTGCCTCCTGCGTCTCGGGCCCCCGGGACCCCAAGGCAGGGGACGGTGGAGGAGCACTACAGGACCCCAGTGGAACAGCACGGGCTGTTCCAGCAGTGTCTGCTGGAACAGACACACACGTCACAGAGTGTGGCAGGTGGGACACCCCAAGGTCACATCCCCCTCCTCAGCCCCTGTGCCCTGGTGCCAGCCCCGGTTGCCCAAGCAGGGGCGGAAATGCCCGGTTGTGTAAGGGGCAGGTTCCCAGCCCTTTGCACAACAGCCGTGCGGCAGCGCAGCGCCGCGGGCACGGGAGGAGTCGGTACCCGTGGGGCACTGGGGACAGAGCTGGCTCTGTGACAGCGAGGGCAGCGAGCAGCTCCAAGGGAGCTTGCCCTGGTCGGCAGCCTCAGGTGCCTGTTGGGAAAGGGGTTTGGGGAGTCTGTCCCCAGCCCCGCTCCCAGGCAGGGCTAACGGGTCGTGGAAGCCCCCAGGCCTGGCTCCGTGACGCAGAGCAGGAGACCCGCTGCACGCGCACAGGATGCAAAAGTGTCTGCAACAGCCTCTTGGGTAACGGCRTTTTCCTGGCTTGGAAATGAGCGTTACGGTGTGTTACAGCACACACCGCAAGGCCAGGCCGGCCTGGGCACCCTGAGCGCATGGCACAGCACACAGGGCAGCGAGGAAGGAGCCTGCTGGGGTAGGACAGCCAGGAGCCACCGTGGCCAAGTGGCTCCCCAGAGGGATGCCCTGGGTACCACCATCGCCACCCCACACGGCCAGATCCCACGGCAAACAGGAGCCAAACACAGGTGACAAACCCATCAGCATCTTTATTGCTGAATGGCCATCAGGCATGAACATCACTCGCATCCCATGGCCCTGGTGAGGGGTCCCCAGTGTCACAGGCTCTGTGCCCAAGAGGGAAGGGAGGGCAGCACTGGGCATCTCTTCTCTGCAAACCAGGCCAGGGTGGCCCATACCTGCTCAGCACCCAGGCGCTCCTCCAGCTGGGGTCCCTTTGGACCGCACACATCAGCGGGGCATCGCTGCCGCCAGTCCTTGCTGTCCCTGGTGCTTGTAGACGGTGCCGTAGGGCCGCTCCATCCCCTGCGTGTCCCCTGCGTGTCCCAGGCGGCCTGGTACCCCAGCTCACGCCRTGGGCATGGGCAGACACCCCACACAGCTCCCTGGTTGCACACACGGCCGCTCACGCACAACCTGCGCTCCGCAACACGCACGCGGTGTCAGGGTCACGTCGCGCACTGCCGCRCGCGCCTGTGCACACACCGCACGCACAGACACACAGTCACACAGGCATCCAGTCACAGGTGATCGCATAGCTGCACACACGGACCCGCACACGAATTCAGGAACAGCCCGTAGTGCTCGTGCATGTGTTTGTGTGAGAGCGCGGCTGGGATCTCGCGTGCGAATACCGCTCACGTGCGCACCCGCCATCACCCCCACATGCACACAGGCACGTTTCAGCTGTCACACACACACAGATACACACACGCACACCGAGTCACGTGCACTCACACCCACTCAGACACACATACAGTCACACACACATACACATACATCCCCACCCACCCAAACTCCCCCACACAYGATCCCACCGTGACTGCAGGCACCTCCGATCACACACTCACCATTGCATCCATGCCAACTTACCACCGCACGCCCAGCATTGCACACACGTGCAGCCGCATGCAGCCCTGCCACGCACGTTCTCAGCAACACGCAGCGAGCGCAGACCCACTGCGCACCCATCCGTGAGCAGGGCGCCCTGGAGGGCTGTGCCTGGCGTCCCACGGGCCGTGTCCTTGCAGGTGGTGTGAGGGTGCTGGGGTGTGCGGGAAGGGAAAGTTRGGGTGCTGGGGCCTGCTGCAGGCAAGGCAGACCAGTCCTGGGCGAGCAGCAGGGCTCAGAGGGTGGTGGAGGTGTTGCCGGAGGAGGAGGCGAAAGAAGGGTGGCCGTAGCGGGCCACRGCATCCTTGCTGATGAGCCCGCGCTGGGCCAAGATCTTGAGGAAGCTGTTGCGAAACTTCTGCCCGATGAAGGCATAGATGATGGGGTTGATGCAGCTGTGGGAGAAGCCCAGGACCTGCGTGATGGAGAGGGCCGTGTCGATGCGGTTTCTCCTCTCACACGTCTCCTCAATGGCCCGTGTCCTCATGAGGGTGTCGCTCACCAGGGTGATGTTGTAGGGCAGCCAGCAAACGAGGAAGACCAGTACCACGGCCAGGATGACCTTCATGGCCCGCTGCTTCTGGGCATTCTTGGTCTGCAGCAGGGTGTGCACGGTGACGCCGTAGCAGAAGAGCATCACCAGGAGGGGCACGGCGAAGCCGAAGGTCTGCGGGAGGACGCGCAGCACCACGCGCCACTTGGCCGTGTTCTCTTCGCCGATGCTCTCGTAGCACACGGTGCCGTTGTTCGGGGAGCTGAAGGCCTCGCGGAAGAGCAGAACGGGCAGCGAGAGCAGCACCGAGAAGACCCAGATGCCCACACAGACGAACTTGACCCAGTGCCTCTTCTCGGTGGCGGCGCGGGTGGCGTAGACGATGGCCAGGTAGCGGTCCACGCTGATGCACGCCAGCAGCAGGATACCGCTGTAGAAGTTGGCCTCCTGCAGCACCGAGATGGCCTTGCACATGACGGTGCCGAAAACCCACTCATGGGCCCGGTAGACGGCCCAGAGCGGCAGGCTGAAGGCGAAAAGCAGGTCGGCCACCGCCAAGTTGAGCAGGTAGACGTCGGTGACAGAGCGGTTGGTTTGGCTGGATGTCACCACCAACACCACCAGCCCATTCCCTACCACACTGAGGAGGAAGACGAGGCAGTAGATCACCACCACCAGGTACTTGTTGAGGGCAGAGCTGTCAGGCCGGCACGGGGAGGAGGAGACAGCCACGCTGGGCATGGCCGTGCTGTAGTCAGTGTAGTTGTAGAATGCAAAGAGTTCTGAGAGATCCCCGTTGAAAAAGATGGAATCCATTTCGCCTGCAAGGCAAAAAGGCATCATGAGTAGGTGGGAGTAGGGCCTGAGACAGGGGTGGCAGCATCTCTAGGGCGCCCACATCTCCATCTCCCAGCGATACCACTCCATGGCTCCTACATGCCCTGCATCCACACTGTGCCAGGTAATGGACAACGCTACACGTGGACACTGTCACCCAGGTCTCCCTCAGCTCAGTTCCTTCCTGCCTTCAAATCTTTCTCCTAGAGGAGAACTTGACCCATCACGTCCTCCAAGGCCATCTCTGCCACTCCCAATCCACATGGTCCCAGGGTCAGGGAGCTGCCAGCAAAGGTCCAGTTGCCCTCAAGTCAGGCAAAGTTTGTCAATTCCACACCAGAAACAGCCCAGCACTAAGGACAGATCAGACCTCAAGAAAAGAGCAGTCAAATCTCATCCCAACCCTTCATTCCCCTTTCCGTCCAGCGGGGACTTCCCCATTGCCACTTCTGCTGGTGCCTCTCCATGAAAGCCTGGCTCCACCTTCTCCATAACCCGCCTAGGAGACCCCCTTCACCCTCTCTTCTCCCAGAAGGATGARCCCACCTCCTTCCATCTCCCCTCTAACGTCCTACACTCCAATGCCTGTGACTGCTGCTGTTCCCGTTCGTTGCACTCGCTGCTTTACCAGGAGCCCGGAGCGGGACCCAGCGCCCAGCTGGGCTCCTGCCAGTGCCCATGGAGGGACAAACCCTGCGCAGCTCCCAGATCCCAGGTCCTTCTCCATYGCTGGTGCCGAGGGAAAGGTGCCGAGCTGGGCGGCTGCACTCCCCAGCCTCCGGGCACYGGGCAGAGCCAGACGCTCGTGCTTGGGCTAGAAGACACGAGCTTCCCCTTGGGGTATTTTTGGCTTCTTGTTTTAACTCCCTCTCAAAATCCCTGCAGTTCCTCTGGAGAGCAGATTTCCCCGCAGCCCTGCTGTGGGTACCACACTCCCAGGCCGGCCCAGGCCCCTCGGGAGAACAAGAAGCAGCCCGTTTCCTCCCCAAACCTGCCCGTCAACCAGCTGCACCAGCAGCTCCCTTCGCAGGGGCAGGAGGGACGGGGCGGGAAAGGCGCCCCGTGAAGCGCAAGGTGCTTCCCAGGGCACACGCGCTGCCGGCCCCAAGGAGGCCGAGGATTTGCGCCCCGTTCGGGAGCCAGCCGATACCCACCCGGGTTTGCCCTCAGTGCCGGCTCCCTCCCCGGCCTGGCCSTGCAAGGCCAAAGCGCGGGGCGGACGGCGAGGAGCCCCGGAGCGCGAGGGCACTAAAGCGGGAAGGAACCCCGGGCAAGGACACTCCGCTCGAGCATCCCTGGGGACTCACCAGGCGCTTCCTTGGCTCTGTCCCCCCACGTCCGGAGCCTTCCACGCTTCCCAGTGCAGTCTGTGCCGGGGAGCTCCCCGGCGTTTTGCCAGCCCTTCTTCTCCAGCCGACCCGATGGCGGCCTGCAGGCAGCAGCGGCCGGAGCTGGCGGCGGCGCTGGCGCGAGGCGGCCGTGCGGGACTCTGGGCACGGCCAGCAGCACCCAGGTCCCTGCAGCACCCAGGTCCCCAGGAGCACCCAGGTCCCTGCAGCA